TGAGTGGTGTATGATGAGTGGTGTATGATGAGTGGTGTATGATGAGTAGTGTATGATGAGTGGTGGTTGAACAGCTGTTGAATGTCCGTAACACGGAAGTTTTGCACACTAAACTTCCTTTGATGATATGTTGATGTTGATGCTCAGTGCCACCTTCCGCTGCTCACGGACTACTGTGAGTGAGCAGTTTGTCACTCCCCGCCAACATTCTTTCAAAACTCATTGAATCATTAAGGTTGTGTGTTTGTTCCATATCAGAACATTGGGCTCAGGCTTTGGTACAGAGTTCACGGCTGAGCTCCTCCTGATGCTGCAACTTCATTTCTGTCCTTTTCTTAGTCTTTTTGTGTGTGCTTATGTGGTGCATGTAGTGAACTCTTTGGTCTTGGGTGCTTTGTAGCCACTGAAGTGCAGGGCTTGAAGGACAGCTCCTTTATGTATTTTTAGTGCTGGCTTGTAGATACTGCCCAGATTAAAACGTCCTTTGCAAGTTCCACTCGAAATATTTTATTTGAAAGCGCACAAGACGCCTCGTTATGTGTCTTCCGCTTGTGTCTGTTGACTTCATCTCAAGCGCTTCATAACGCTTCGTTCATGTGCAGACTGGTCTGGCTCAAGGAAGCTGATTGCAGAGAGGTACGCATACAAAAAGCTTGCTGTAACACACCTCCTGCGAGCTCCTGTACAGGAAGCAGGGAAGCAGATGGAAGTAGGCTGCGTACTGTACATTGTGGTCTTTTGTTGTTTTCAGAGGCAGCTAGACAAAACCATTGATGGCCACCGCCTGCTATGGCAAAGTAAATCAATTTGACGGCGCCTGTCAGGGTGCAAGGCTTGCGAGCCGTCCTTGTGAAGGGATTGTATGGTGGAGCAGTTGTATACGTGGCTTCAATGCGTCAGTTTCAGGAAGGATGCAAAGATGAACAACCTCCTTCTTTGTCTTCAAAGCCAAGGTGCATAGCGGCTTTTGCAACCTGTCTGCTTGCTTCCAGATGCAGAGGGTGAACCCAGATGAACTGCAATGCGAGTGAGCAGTTCCTTTGCTTGACCCTTTGCCTCATCGGCTTGGAGCTATCTGACATGTCCATGATGCCCAGGTTGATGCTGCTTCCCGGTTTGTTGCGGCAGAGAAAAACAAGATGGAGCCCACGAACCCGAATGCAAACGCATACGTCAAACCACTGCGTATAAAAAGAGACACAGCCGGTCAGAATCTCTTTTGCACTCTCTGGCACGCTGTTGGACATCATGCGCTGGGGACTCCACCACCAAGGCAGCATGCGCTGGGGACTTCACCACCAAGCTCCGTCTTCATCATGAAGGGTCTTTGTTTTGCATTCAAATCAAGCACTGGCGTAAAGGTTCTGGCAGATCCGCGGCGCGAAAGAAACAATGGCATTGTCTTAAAATCTCGAAAATAAGCACTTGAAAATGATAACCGTCCACATAATACAGAGAAATCCACAACTGCGGCGTCTGATCTTCTTGTAAATAGGAGTGCAAGACCGTGCGTTGTTGTGGTTCGCCTGCATCGACAAGAAGTATATGAGACACACGCAACGGAAGTGAAGAAAACTATCCTATAGGTTATGTCATTAGTCCAACATTCGTATGGATTTATCGCACACACGTTTGTTAGATGTGTCACCGGGGCCTCGAACAACAGACGTCTGGGTCCAAGTATTTCCAGCAATGATGAAGCCAAGATTGAGCTCCGTGGCCAACGCAACAAAGTCGACGTCTGTTGCCCAAGGAGTATTCCCACAAGTTTCGAGAGCAGTACTCACGGCAGCCTGCAAAGACACCAGGGCCGCAGTGCCAGAACGCACTCTCTTGCTCCTCGTCACGGAGCTGCCGCCCTCTTTGTAGCGAACTAGCATGGCGTCGTGTACAACTTCTGCTCCGAGGACATCGTTGGCGTCTTTCAAGAAAGCAAAAGGAGAGCCACGCAAGAGTGCGATCATGGACCAGTGGTCCAGCCATGTCCTCGCAGCTTTGCGCGCCAAACACCCGACGACGAAGTTCAAGAATGCTTTTGGCGTCTTGGCGCGCATGCGTCGCCCGACAATCTTGCGGAGAGCAGCCGCGACCGTAGTTCAGTCGTCCCAGTCAGTCACTTCATCGGAAGTGAAAAGATTCAAGAGTCGTGGGTGGACCGCTCGCGCCTGCATCAGGACGACCGCAGTGGACAAGAAGAAGCAATCGCCGCCTCCGCCAGCTTCGGCGGCAAAGACACGCAGAGCCCCGCGTTCTCGGAAAAATTGCGCCGTGGGAGTGGCCACCTCTTCCAGAACAGCACAAGAGACCAGATGTCGCAGAAATCCGTTCGCAGCTGACGCCACTTGGTGGGGTCGTACTTCCTTTTGGTTCCCCTGAACTCAGTCACTACACTCGCCCTCGTAGCCGCCGTCCAAGCCCCTGGGACGTACTGAAAGCGACCCTCTGGTGTTCTGCGGGTCGGTCGCGGTAGGTGTTCCGCGGCTGGAAAACCAGGCAGATGTCTGCGAGCTTCTTCGATGGCGGAGCGAGACAAAAGCGCAACCTCCTGCAAACAATGATACAAGATCGACACACGCGCGTGCGGATGGAATGCTATTTCATATCTTATCACTCGAGCAGGGTGAATCAGTCCGTGGATATCCAACATAGCACATTAAACAAGCCAACAAGCACATCAGAGTCCTCCAGTCGATCCAAAAACTCGGCAATATACGCAGGTGGACCAGTCTCAAAGATCGAAAAATCAATATCGCCTTCTGGCGTCTCCGGCAAATTGCGAAATTAGGAATACTTGAGAGCTTGAGCGCGTCCAAGAATCATGTACAAGTGCTGCGTATAATCGTCTGCCGAAAAATGCGCGCAAAGTACTGCGCCTGTCACGAAATGTCACCTCCGTCACACCTCGCAACCTCACGATTCCCTGCGCCTGCCACGAATCTTTCCGCGTCCACACGTCTAATGCGCACAAAGTACTGCGCCTGTCACGAAATCACACCTCGCAACCTCACGATTCCCTGCGCACGCCACGAATCTTTCCGTGTCCACACGTCTAAGACGCACAAAGTACTGCGCCTGTCACGAAATGTCCCCTCCGTCATACCTCGCCGCCTCACGATTCCCTGCGCCTGCCACGAATCCTTCCGCGTCCACACGTCTAAGGCGCACGAAGTACTGCGCCTGTCACGAAATGTCACCTCCGTCACACCTCGCAAC